AGAGGCATCCAGGAGCTTTCCTACGAGAGCCCCACGAGGCAAACATCGTAGATTTTCCATACGTTTTTGCAGGATTCTAGCGCTCTTGCCTCTGACGTTTGCCAACGCGCCAAGATGGCCCAGGAGGCCCCAAATATCGCCCCGAGACACCCTAAGAGGCGCCCCAAAGCGTCCCTTAACGGCCCAAGGGGGCCCCAAGACGGCCCAAGACGCCTCCAGGACGTCCCCAGAAATCCTCGGAGGCTTCCAGAGAGCCCCCCCAAAGAAGACCATGAAAAATGAGACATCGACTCGAACCCCGATCCTCGATCCTCCTCTTCCTCCTCTGCCTCCTCCTCATCCTCCTCCTTCTCTGTTTCCCCCACGATCTTCGTCGTTTTTCCCCCCGCACCACCCTGAAACCTGCATGAGCCTCCCAGAACCCCCCCCCTCTTCCCTCGGCCCACCTCCTCAAACGCTCCAGCCAGAGGAGAATCGAACAACAGCGTAATCGACTCGAAGGGGACCCCGTTCCTGTAATCCCTTCCCACGAGAGAGGGGAGGTCCCGGGGGAGGGTGAGAGGGAGGAGAAGATCCCGCGGGGTCCCTGAAAGTGTCCTGCGAATCGTGACCCCCCCCCTCCCCCTTCTCCGACCGAGAACGCCCAAGAGAGCCTCAGGAACACCCTAAGAGAGGCCGAAGAGGAGGAAAACCAACCCACATTTCAAGCTCCCCACTCCAAGAGGCTACCAGGAGGTCCCGAAATCGCCCATGTCTTTTCACCTGCTCGACTTCCAGGCTTCATACACTCCACGTCGGCCCCAGTTGCCTCCGAGAGCTCCCCAGAACGGCCCAAGTACACGCCAGGATGGCCCAGGAAGGCCCCAAGACGGCCCAAAGGCCACCCAGGACAGCCCAAGAGGGCCCGGGAAGGCCCCAACAAGGACTCGCGATCGTCGTCGCCGTCGCCGTCGTCGTCGTCGTCGTCGTCGTCGTCGTCGTCGTCGTCGTCGTCGTTCATCGTCCCCCTTCAGGGTCGGCGGCATCGGCCGTAAGGCCTTCGCAATACATCCACATCCACCGCCCGCTGGGGCACCAGGATGTCGGTTCCCAGGTCGGTGGATCTGGATACATCCTCGCCTCGCAACCTTGCAGCCCCCGGGACCCTCTGGGCCTCGTGGGCCGTGCTCCAGAGGCCCGTGGGGGCCCCCCCCGGAGCTCCTGGGGGCACCTCGGGCCAGGGGCGCAGCCTGGCAACGCGCCCGAGGCTCTGGAGCGTGAGCCTGGCAGCGCCCGAGGCTCTGGAGACCACACTCCGCGCGCGCGCGCCCTGCCGCGTGCGCCTCCCGGCCCCGAGTGCGCCGCCCGCCGCCCGCCGCCGCCCCTCCGCGCAGTCCTTTTTGGCCCACCTCCGGGGGGCGCGGACGCGGCTCGTCGCGCCGCCCGCCGCCGGCGGGGCACCTCTCGCAGTGGGCTCGCCCGGGGGAGCGCTCGGGGGGGGGGGAGGGAGACGGTCGGACCGAGGTGCAAGATCGAGGTCGGCTCGGGGAGGGTGGCCTGGTGTTCTTCGTGCTTGCTGGATGCCCTTCTGCACCCTGGGGCGGGGCACCCTCGGAGCGTTGCTTCAGTTTGGGCCGGCGGAGGGTCCCATGTTCCTGAAGGATGTGTTCCTCTGTCCTAGGTTCCGCCGTAGGCCCAGGGGGGATGCATCGACCACCAAGCGCCCACTCTCGGCCACGCGCAGAGGGGGGTGGGGGGAGGGGGGAGGGTTTGGCAAGCGGCCCAGCTTCTCAGAAGGCGCGGGGCCGTATCTATAGATGTAATACCAGCGTGGTCCAAGAAGCAGCCTCCTCTCAGAAGCCCTCCCCCCTCCCCTCCCCCCCCCTCCTCCTCCTACCTCCTCCTTCCTCCCTCTCTCCTAACCGCCTCCTCCTTCTCCTCCTCCCTCCTCTCCTCCTCCCCCCTCAACTACCTCTTCCCCTGCACTCCTACCCTCCTCATCATCCTCCTCCTCCTCCGCCTCCTCATCCTCCTCCTCCTTCCCTCCTCCTCCTCATCCTCCATCCTCCGCCTTCCTCTCCTCCTCCTCCCCCCTCCCCCTCCTCCCCCTCCCTCCTCCCCCCTGGTGCGCGCCGCCCAGGGGACGCATCGACCACCAACCGCCCACTCATCCCCGCTGGGAGCCCGAGGGCTCACCCCACCCAGGAGCGCGCCGCCTCGCTCTCGGGGGCCTGTCGCCGATCCGTCGGCGATCGACTGTCGGGCGAGGCTAGGCTTAAGTCGGGCCTGTCCCTCTGCAGGAGGCAAATTCAATACTATCCCAAAAATAGTCAGGGGACGAGTTCTTTGACAATGTTTGGATCATTTTGTGGGTATCATTTGGGTATTTTTAGTTTTTCGCCCAAAACCCGCCTGTAGGGGGACATGCCCGACCCGAGGCCAGGACGAGGATCGATCCGTAGAGCGTTCCGGAACGCTCCCAGAAGGCCGCGGCGCCCGAGACGCCCTCCGGAGCCGCCGC